CCAGAAGATAGAAGAGTTTGTTGAATCTGACGTGACATGTTCGTACGAACCCTTTGTACGAACAAAAGTAAGAGAAATTTAGGAGAAGAATACGAACATGTTCTTGCATGAGGCCCAATGTTCCAGGGAGGTCGGGGTGTGGTGTGGGAGGAGGGGATGATGGTGTATCGGCTGTGGCGCCTCCTCTGACTGCAGTAAAATGGTCACATGCGAACACATACAGACATCACTGCTCAGGACAGGAACTGTGGACTGATCTGTGCTCGACCCACCCTGCTCTGCTCTGACTGCATAGAGCTCTGGCTTTGGTTTCTTTATTTGTTGAAAAGCCATATCAGTTTAATCCTGATCGCCCACATTCAACGTGATGGAAATCTGTTGCGTCGATGGAGAACTTTAAGCCCTGGTATCAAATCCCTTTAATTTAATCATTGGAGTATGTGTGTCCACCAACGGCTGATTACACTGTCGATAAAGGGTTAGGCTGTTTCCAGTATTTGTGAATTATAATAATTATATTATACAATAATACAGTGGGTGGTATGCATTTCGTGAACTGAATAATCAAATAGTATGCAAAGAAGTGAGAACAGATGAGTTTTCTTTGCTGAGGTAAATATCCTTCATTAGACCTGAGGGTTTGAAGATTAGCTACATGTCATAAGTTGGTGAAATGATCCTTACTGACCTGGGCTTGGTAGAGTCCACCTGGGTCACGGGGGGCGACTCCGACAAAGGACGACTGACTGGCAGGAGGGGTTCCAGGAGCAGAGTATGCTGTTGGTGTTAAATGTCAAATGTAATTCACCAGTATGGTAACTCTCACAACTCAAGGTCACTTATAATACTTACATACACTGTACCCACTGTCACTCATAACACTCAAAATCTCATAATACCGTACAAGACCAAGCAGAACGTTATCCTTAAGGTGTGTAAACAATCACTTCTCATAAGATGATTTTAGTCTAAAGCTCTATTTGTTGTCATATCCTCTGTTTATCTAGTTATAAACAGCTTTATTCAAAACATATTTACAAACAAACATCTGCGGGTGAGTTTGTAGCTTCTTACTTGGTGATGTGGGGGAATGTGCGCCCCCTTCAGACGAGGAGGTAGAGGCCTTTGACTCTGTGGGAACGGTTGGTCTGGGGTGGGAGGGCGCTGGTCCATGGGGTCCTAACATCTGGGAGGTGATGTAATGACTCGGCATTTTCACCTGGGTGCTGCCGTTGAGCTGGAACGGTTCACAAACACTGTTAGCTTCCTTCGTCAGAAAAACACTAAAGTGAAATAAAGACTACATCCTGTTGTGAAATAAAGGCTGAATTGTATCATTTTAGGGTTTTGCTGCTCACATTTTGAATCAGGTGGTTAGTGTATGGAAATGTGTATCCAGCAGCACGTGAATGACTCAGGTTTACTTACAGGGCTGGGGGACTGATTTGTAGGGTCACAGGGTAATGAGACCAGATCCTTCAGGGGGTCCTGGGCCAGGTGAGGAGGATAGCGAATTGCTCCATGGGAGAAGTAGGGAGACGAAGAAAAGTGAAGAGACGAGGAGGGATGGGAACTCAGAGAGAGACCTGAGGGCAAAATAAAACATGACAGGAGTGGGGTTCGGTTTAGGACTAAGCTGTGAATTGAGTTTAGGTTAGTTTTAGGGTCAGGCAGGTGCCTGTGAGATTAATTTTAAGGTAAATGATCAGGGTTAGGCTATAAAATTACCAGAAAATGAATGGAAGTCAATCCATGGTCCCCACAGGGATATAAAAACAAACCTGTGTGTGTGTG